TTCTCTGTCTGTCAGGTTAGTGACTTGGAAAATAATAAATCACATGCTTATGTCTAACCATAGACTTTTGGATGTTGTAGTTGAATACACTGTATTAGAGTGTGTGTTAAAATACTATTTTCTTCCTTAATTTGTGTTTGTGTGCTAGTTTAAGTTTCAGAACAATGTGCTATATAGCCTGCTACACGAGGCATTTCACTTTATTCTACACTCACTACTCTTCACTCATATTTGGGTTAATTTTACTTGAATATGTCGTCATTAATGTATGTTTGCAACAGCTGAGAATCAACATGTTGGATCTTACCTTGGCTCCGCCCACAGCTGAGGGAGTGTGCAGCGATGACTTCATGTCAAGCAGTTCGAGCACCTTGCGACTGTGCGGAGATAACAAGGGTCAACACAGTAAGTTGATCAGTAGATAGAACTGAATTTTAAAGTAATTGCTTACACTCTCCAGGTCTGTTAAATAAAACCACTGACTGGTCTAGGATGAAGAAAATATACTTAATTACCTATTTGTGATTATGAAAAACTGAGGAAACATAAAAAACAAATTTACTGATGGAAGAGTAAAATAAATAAGTAGACAATTGGTGAAGGAAGGATTGGATTACTTACAGTTGCTGTTTGTTTAAATAAAATCCCGTCTGACTTGAAGTGTAACTTCACTAAATTTTTCAAGTTGCTTACATTGTATCAAGAAATTTATTTTCAAAGACGTCAAACTTAGTTGAGGAAAAATACAATGAAAATGCTTGATAAACTTTATAAAGGCGCTAACAGTTTAGTTGTAATCTGGGTTGCATTTTAACAGCAATAATTGAACAGCAACGTTGATGGAGAGTTTGGCTGTATGTGTTGTCCGTATGAAATAAATTCTTTAAACTAAACAATTTCTTAAGATTGAAATTATATAGAGTTAAAGTTTGTTAACTGTTGGAGCTCATAAGTAGGCCTCCAATGTTGTTTACTGATTTATTATCCGTGTTTCAGTTTACGTGGACTTTAGAACTGCCTCGTCCTTCACTCTCTCAGTCGACACAAACTCTCTTCTAAGCTTTGATCGATCCTGGAACATGGAGATTATTCAAATACCGTGTTCTTCCGGAGGTAAGAATTTTACTCTTTAGTTTGAACAAAACCTATAATCAAATTATGCTTTGATAAAAGTTTGATTTGGGAAAGCTTATCACTGATCATGTCAAGACAATATTGATTTACCTGACTAAATATCTTGGTAGAGCATGTAGTCACATTAAAAAGTGAAGGAGTCAATAAAAACTTTAAAATAAATAAATAGGCTATCTTTGTCTCTATATGAACGTTTTTCATGTGATGGCTGTTTTCAGACTTTTTTGGCACAAGTTGACACTAAGGTTTTGAAGTTATGTAAATCAAAAAGCAAAGCTAATGAAACCATCTGCATGTTCCAGTTCCATCAGGCTGTACCCAGTTCTACAACACAACATCCGGCTCAGTGTCCAGTTTCAACTATGGCACCACTGCTTCCACTTCCACTAACACTGATGGTTCGTAAACAGTAAAATATAGTTTAGTTTTGAAATTGTTAGTATCAACATAATAGACGTTTCACTACCCCAAAAACAAATTTTTTTTGATTTTTATAATGTTATTCCTGCTTAATGATTGCCCCGGCTGGCTGGCTGGTAAGATGACTCAAGGAATGTGAGTTGACCCAGTCAAAAATATTGTCGCTACGGAATAGTAAATTATTAATTTAATGTCTTAAGTATTTAGTAATATAGTTGTAATCAAGTATAATTTTTTACTATTAGCATTATGTTCAATCTAAGCCTAAGCTATTCAACTTTAACATGTAAATGGAATATTTAGCTATATCATACATTAAACATACTATCGATAATAAAAGGTAATAAGCAGGTAATTTTAGCAGAACCAACTATACTTTTTAATAAATGATTTATATAATAAACTCAACTTGATTCAAATCAAAACTTGTTGATCTTTACGATAATTTCAACACAACGATTCATCTGGGTTTTTTACACAGACACTTCTAAGTAAACTGCTTGTATTCTAAATTTCAGGTTCAGCTGGGAACAGACAGATTGCAGGATTGAACTACGGAGTTTGTGTGCGATCACTGTCTGGCTACTGTTACATTGAATGGTCTCAAAACTCCGCCAGCCCGTACAGCTTTACAGTATCTGGTCCCACTGATGCCTTGGACACCTCTGTACTGGGTAATAATGGGTTTTAAAAAACACTTATGACTACCACCAAATGTCTTTTTCAGAGCGTATGCTCCAATTTCAAACTCAATACCAAATTCTTTAAACCCAGAATAGAAATAACACTTCATTTAAAATGGAACAACCAAATAAATAAATGGAGCAATGAACTATAGTTCGGCCGCTTAGAAAACGACCTGCACGCTAATGCTAAACCAATGCTGGAGGAGGTCGTTTTCTAAGCGGCCGACCTACAACACTAATCATCTGTAGTAATACACATTATATTAATGCCAAGTATCTATTTGATAAAAGACATTTTGTAAAAATTGCATTAAAATTGCACCCAAACAATTGCATTAATACTTCACTAAAAATTGAACATATTTTAGGTAATGCTAGTGCGGCAACTAGTGGTGGGAACTGCACAACCAACTTTGTGGTGATTCCAAACCCTTCTCAAAATGGCGTCAGGGTCTCAACAGATAGGTTTTGTGGTAATGGATTTGTTGCAACAACATGTAAGTAGTAAAGATAATAAAATCCTTAAACCTTGTTAAATCAGATAAATGGGGTTCAAATTATTATCTGTTGGTATTGTTGTTTAATTACGAGATGTGTTCTGTAAGTAAGAGACGTTCAAGCGTTTGGCTCTGTACTTCATGTGTACAACGCAACAAGGCGGCTCCCTGCTTACTGGCATCAAATGTGAACAGAATCGTACCAATTGCAGCTGTGTAGCTGACGTGTACACTCACTGTTTTTTTTTTCAATGTTTAAAAACAAATAAATCTCCCGAGATTAGGTCACTGCAAGATAAGGTCAGTAATAATTTTTTTAACTTGCAAGAAACAAATCCTGTACAGGCATTCATTTCATTTCCAGATGACTTAAAAAGTATACAACCCATAATGCTATGAGTAAGAGAAAAGTGTGGAAATGGGTAGTTAGGGAGTTGAGAAATGGCCATATAAATGTTCCTCGATTAAAAACCTAAATGAATGGTCCAAACATATAAAATGCTTCTTGTAAATTTACATTGAAAATAAATGTCAAATAAATATGAACTGTGCATGGAACTTTTCAAAATTGACAAGGAAAGGCAAAGATAACTAAAATATTGTGTTTCATTGTCTGTAATAAGTTGTGCTGCAATAAAGTATATATTGAAAATGTTGTACAAATTATTAATGGCTGGGTATCTGAGTGTTTAGCTCATCTGCTTAAGTGTCGCCGGTTTGATCCTCAGATAAGTGATTAGCTTTTTAATTGTCGGTAACTGGACTCACTTGTTTTCAATCATTGGGATGAATAAATGGTCATAGCTGAAGAAACAGCAGTCAGTAACGAAACTACACAGGCCATCTCACACCATTCTACACTCAACTTGCCTTAATTTTCAGTTAACAATAAGTACCTATGTGGCGTGGCGTTAATAATGATAATGCCTTATTTCAGCTGCAGCCAGACCTTATGTCTTGTATGTTACGACTGCTGCTACCTCCTCTACTACCAACTCTGGGGACCTCGGTAACCGAGGCTTCACCCTCAACTACCGTCTGTTGCCTTGTTAAATAAATGTTTAAAAAAATTAAATGAGTTTGATTTCCCTTGAATTACGATGTTTTACTATTGATAGAAGTTGTTGCCATTCCATAGTTCCAAGTGGTTGCCAGTTTTAGACAAATAGCTAATTTATTTGTGTACTAGCTGCTGTACCCATCACGGCTCATCTCATCTATAAAGGTGTTTATGGGAACTCACTTGGGAACTACAGTATCATGCTCTCGTACCATAAACACCTACTTCCAACCTTGAAGCGTAAATATACTCTTAAATCACTCTTTATAAGCCATATTCACCGGATTTTAGCGAATTTCCCATATAGGGAATAAGCTATTACCGTAGGTCTCATGGTAAGACCTAGACCCGGGACCGATTTACTTTTTTGTTTTGAGGTCCCCAGAGGCCAAAAACACCATCCGTTCAAATTCATATATATATATATATATATTTATATATGTGTCCGTTAGCGCGATAACTCGAGCAAAATTGATCCGATTTTGATGAAATTTGGTACAAACATGTAAACCTACATATATTCGAACGAGTTCGCGAACCAGCATAATCGGACCATGGGATCAGGGGTTTATGGGGGGTTTTATGGGGTAAAAATGGGTTTTTCTCTTTTTTGACCCTAAAAACTTAAAATTTCTAAATTTCTCTCTAGATCATTTTGAAGAGCTTAAAAAAACAAATAATTTAGTATATTGAAGTGTTTTTGAATGTTCATTGACTACGGAGAAAATTTAAAAAATTGTAAATTTAAAATTCCCATGTTATTCTTATGGAGAATAAATAAACTGTTCTAGTTTGCTTGTTTATGGATATATTTTAATCAAATTTGGCAATTTGGTTTATTTCATACTAAGCTATCAATATTTCAATTGCAAAAACACATCTCAACATCTTCCTCGTAGCAGCAAACCTAACTACTCACTAAAATTAATGTTATTTAAATAGGAAATAAATCTGAAAATTTATAGGGAATATTTTAGTAGAAATCAAGCCGGGTAAAAATGGAAATTCGCTTAGGATGCAGGTTTGCTGCGACGGGGGTATTGTTGTATACTCTGGTATAAATGCTGTTTAAGAATGTAAATATGTCAGCTGCTCAGTAGCTTAACATCAGCTATAGTTTACACCTTTTTCCCACTTTTACAACTGCTTTGAGCTACCAATAATTCCAAAAGCATATAATCAGGGATTTAGAAAAATCACCAATGATAAATCTATATAAATATATTTTTTATAACAAAGCTAACACAGGTGGTCTCACTTAATTAAATAAAACAGCACAAAATATTCAGAAACTAAACACTAATCGAATTATGCTATCAATACATACGTAGTATGTATCAGTGTACAAAATACTCCACGGGCAACATGCATTCCTATCATCACTCACACACACTTAAATTAAATATACAAATATACATTAATTAATTAAATTATTAGTCCACAGTCTTTAGATTTGAGATGTTTGCGGTTACAGTTCGTCGTGTTCCTCCTGATCCTCATCCGCTCCGACTTCTTCCGCCTTCTCATCTGCCTCCGCCTCCTCTCCATCATCTTCTTCTTCATCAACCTGCAAAAAATGCAATAAGCAAGTAAGTGATAATAGCCTCACAAGAAACCACTTGAAGGCACAAACTAATTCCTACTCTGCATTGTTGGTAGATAGTTAATTTGTGAGTAGCTCGTCATTAGTTTGTTACGCCTGCTTGGCTATACTGTTTACAATTTCTTTATGTCTAATAAACTTTCTAAACTATTTTTATGACATACACAAACAATGTGTGTGGTTTTAATTGCAATACAACGAGAATATAACAAGTATAATTTGGCCAAAAGGTAGGAAAAATAGATTTTCAGGTTTTGGTATTTGGAGGAATTTCATGGTGAGCTTTAAATATCCAAGAATATCAGAATCAGGTTCTTCTCATTTATCAAGCAGTTTTACAAGCAATTTTTATTTTCACATAGATTTTCAAACCAATTAGTATTGCAAAAAATGAACTCAATCTTAATCCAATAATATGTTACAGAATTAATAATATGATCCTTTTTTCATCAGCCTCAGAGTCTTTGATACATTTCAAGATTAAATATACTAGAATACTAACCGCTAGATCCTTGGGTATTCCCATGGTGTCCCTCATCAAGTCTTCCACAGTTTGGGCAAACTCTGCTGAGTCTTGCAGCATGAAGCCGGATCTCAAAGTAGCTGTAACACAACAAAGACACTTAACAAAAACACTTTTTAGCATATTTTACACATGAATACTTAGATGGAAAAAACATAGTAGAAGGATAATGACGAATCAACCTCAATTTTATCCAGGCCCATGCAGTTAATCTGAGGGTCGGTTAATACAAAGTGTGCGGCATTGTCATGGGTGGGCAGTGGCCGTTCCTGCTCTAGGCCATAACGCAACAGCAGCAAATGAGAGGATCTACTGTATGTTTGTGTCACTCACCAGTTCTGAACATCATGAGAGCCATATTCTTGGCAGTCTCGTCCTCTGGGTTGTCAGCTACTCTCTTCTGCAGCTCCTTGATGAGAGGATGTCTGGGGTTGATCTCCAGAGTCTTGCGTTGGCTGAGGTAGTACGAGCGCTGAGGGTCGTCAGCCTTCTGGTGTGCGTTGGACACTGCGAGGCGCTCCATGTTGCCAGTCCAGCCGAACATTGAGGCGACCAGTGCGCACGGTGACTCTGTCAGACGCTCGGACACTTGCGCCTTAGCGATCTGTGGGGCAACAAAATACTCATTACATGATCATATGTAGCAACTTATCTTAACCTATGTCTTAAAGGAGAGGAACACAATATTTTGGACTTTTTCGTTTACTAACATGAGCTAATTTGCTATGCTTCATACCAAAAGTTATTCATGCCTTTGGCTTAATCAAAACACTTTGGTGTTTCCTCAAACTTACAAAGGTCACTTTACCTTGTCCTTCAGAGCGACATCGTTGAGCCACTTAGTGAGGTCCTCGTATTTCTCCTTGAGGGCTTCCAACTTCTTCTTGTCCTCCTCCAGGGTGAACCCTTCCTTCGCCACATTCTGGAACTTCTTGCCCTCAAACTCTGGCAGTGAAGACAGACAGTACTCGTCCACAGCCTCTACCAGGTACAATACTTCGTAGCCTTTCTTCAGCAGTCGCTCCACAAACGGGGAACTCTCCACCTGAGTAGCACAGACAGATCAGTGAACAACTCCTCAGTGACACAGGCAGACCAGGAAGATAGTTAAATTCCCGATTTTTACTTATACGTACAAACATATCTACTTATATATAAATATATATATACCAATAAAGTTATTTTAAATTTAATTCAATCAAGGTCCAGTCAATCTCAGGACTTACCTCCTTCCTGGATGAGCCAGCCAGGTAGTAGATATGGTCCTGCTTTGGTTTCATCCTCTCAACATACTCAGCCAGTGAAGTGGTCTCCTCCTCCGCCTTAGATGATTGGAACCTGAGCAGCTTAGCAAGGCGAACCCTGTTGGCTGTGTCCTCAATAACTCCCAGCTTGATGCTGAAATCAAACATATTGTTTATTCTCTTGTAAAAACATGTTTAAGTAGGTAAAGTGGTTTACAAGATTCCTCGATTAGTATAATTAACATTGTCAACCTTTCTCAAGTTAACCTAGTTCAGGTTGCAGTACTTTTGAAATAAATATCAGTGTATTAGTGCTTAAACTAGTAATTACTGAGTTTTTTGCAGCATAAGAGTTTGTTTCTGTTGTCAGTCCTAATCTAACCCTAAACAGAATTTGTAAAAAATAGAACATTACAACTTGTAAACATAGTGATAGTGTAAGAGAAAAGTCCAAAATACATAAATCTGACAGGCAGGGTGGTTAGGAGGTATATTGCTAGTTGAAAGATTTTTCCAGTGAGGACGAAAACTGCTTCTATCAGAGGGTTTAAAGGATGGGGGTTATTAGGGTTATTATTTAATTTATTTGTTAATAACTGATGCAGATAGTTGGAGCTCTACGGTACAATGCACTTGCGTAGCAATTGTTAAGTGATAACTACACTTACTTTGTAGAGTACTCTTTCCAGAACTTCTTCAACTCCTCCGGCTCGAGTTTCTTGATCATGTCGAGGGCCTTGCGCACGAGCTTCTTTCGGATGACCTTAAGCAGCTTATGTTGCTGCAGTGTCTCTCTGCTGACGTTCAGAGGTAGATCGTCAGAGTCCACGACTCCTTGGATGAATGACAAATACTTGGGCAGCATGTCTGTGAACTCGTCCGTGATGAACACCCGACGCACGTACAGCTGCAAATAGCACACACTGTATAGTAGATATTATGTTACCAGGTTGATTGAGTCTAATCAGGTTTGGTAATCAATTTTTTTGTCCTAGGACGCTAGGCACAAGCCTGGGAATGTTTTTCCCATGACTTCTGGCTAGACCTAGGGGTTGCGGCATTGTCACCTAAATAAAATCCATTGGTGTCTTGGCAGTGATCAAACCCAAGACCTCAGGGACTGAAGTCCCACGCTCTAATCACTACGCCAGCTCGCTCCCCAGGTTTGTTAATCAATGAGAAATATATAAGTATAGCTGAATGTCTAAAGCACCTTCTGTACAAGTGCAATATAAGAGACTTGAGAGATCTGTGATATGCAGGAGCTGTAGAAACCTCGAACTGAACGTATTGATTTAAATAAACCAGAGTAGACATCCCATCTATATGTACCAGCTGTAACCAATTTTTAATTTAAGTTGAACAATGGTTGAACATAGTTAAAAGAGCGATTTTAATGTTAAATGGCATTCTTCATCGATCATTTCTATAGTATTTATATAGAAAAATACCAGTGAAATTATCATGTGCACCTTGACCTCTCAGATCAACCAAACAAACATGCCTCTATCAACCACTTGGCTTTCCCCTAGAATAGCCTACTACAATTTAATATACACCAGCTTCACTTAAAGGATTATTTTGCGTAGCAAATATCAACAACGTACCTTGATGTTGTCGGTGACTGTGCCATATCTGTTGAAAGAGTCGCTGGGCTGGTTCTGAGGCACAAACAACAGAGACTTGAACGTCACTTCACCTTCAGCCACAAAATGTACCTTGGCCAGTGGGTCCTGACGATCCTTAGTGAGCGACTTGTAGAACTCGTTGTACTCACTGTCCTCGATCTCAGCAGGCCTGCACAATGTTCAACAATCAACATTATACTAGTAGTGTAGTAACAATCAATACTATTCCATGGTACCGGTATCTCAAGGAATTTTCATTTATGACATTTAATTTTTAACGGTAGGTAGTTAAAAATACCCCCGCCGCAGCAAACCTGCAGACTAAGCGAATTTCCATTTGACTGATAGGATTTACACTGAAATGTCTACTTAAAAATATAACATTTATTCTTGATTTAAATAGAATTAGTTTAACAAGTACTTAGGTTTGCTGCATCAGGGAGGGTAAAACTGTTTTTTTTTTTTTTTTTAAATGTGAATAGTTAGTAAGAAATAAAAACATTTTCCAAATTTGATCAAAATATGTTCACAAACAAGCAAACTACAACAGTTTACTTATTCTCCATAAGAATAACATGGGAATTTTAAATGTACAATTTTTTGGTATTTTCTCCGTAACCATTAGGCGCATAATAACGCTTCAATATACTAAATTATTTGTTTTTTTAAGCTCTACAAAATGGTTTGGAAAAAAATTGCTAAATTTTATGTTTTTTGGGTCAAAAATGGGAAAAACCTATTTTTACCCCATAAAACCCCCGTTCCCATGGTCCGATCATGCTGGATCGCGAACTCGTTCGAATAAACGTACGTTTACACGTTTGTACCAAATTTCATCAAAATCGGATCATTCTTGCTCGAGTTATCGTGCTGACGGACACATATATATATATATATATATAAATATATAAATATATATATATATATATATATGAATTTGAACGGATGTTGTTTTTGGCCTCTAGGGACCTCAAAACGAAAAAAAAAATCGGTCCCGCGTCCAGGTCTTACCATGAGTACTACGGTAATAGCTTATTCCCTATATGGGAAATTCGCTAAAAATGAAAATGTGATATTCACAATAACGGATGCTATGATTTTGATTAAAGTTAAATATATTATGGTCCTTTTCACCCTGAACAAAATGACACAACCCTTTTAAACGCTGTAAAAATTACAAAACAAAGGTTAAAATAATTTTGTGATTTTCCTCATAAAAAGCTATAAAATTTCATAAAACACATTTTGCTCATAATGGTAGAATGTTCAATATTTCAATGTCAAGCTAGAGGGAGAAATAATTATGTTTGCCGATGCTTTTTATTTAAATAGCACATGTTGTAATAACAATAGTGATGAGAACAAGAAACAAAATGTTGCTAAAATTAAGTGCTGTTGCAATTGACATAGAATTACCTACTTTAGCTGTTTCAAAATGTCCCAGTGACAAATAAACTTGAATCTAAAATAATGTAGTCATCGAGACAGACTTACTTTCTCGTCCAAATAGGCTTGTTCTGGTTTATAATCTCCCAGTCCCAAACAGTCTTATCCACTTTCTTAGTCTTTGGTTTATCTTCATCTTTTTTTTCATCTGCGTCTTCCACTTCAGCCTCCTCATCTTTTGGCTCTTCCGCTGGTTTCTCTTCTTCCTCTCCCTCTTCCAAAGGAACTTCTTCTGTCACTGTCTATATATTTAAAAAGATAATTTAAAATTTAATAGTTAATAGAATGCTCATTTTTAAAAATTGTTGAGATTAACGGGTTCAAATGGTTCCCCCATGTAAAACCTGAACTTAGTAGCCTATAGTAATCAATGTATCTATTCAGTAAAAAGAACTTTCGTTTCTAGCTACAAGTTAGAGTATACAAACTAATGAGAAAAATCATAAAAAAATAAACAACAGAAAGAATTTAAATAGATAATTATTGTATAGTTCTATTGGTGATACAACAAAAACTCTTTGGTAAATAATTGTAAAATATTAGTGACAAACTGATATTATAAAGTTACTGGAAACTACTTTCAGCATCACCATTTCCCATTATATGTTAGTAATTTTGAGCTTTGACAAAAAAACTTTAACTTATTAATAAACAAAAACAGATTAAGGGATCTGTAAAGAATTCACGTTTTGGAAGAATATTTTTTAGATTCACAACATTCATTTGAAAGCAAACAGAGTCAAACCAAATGCCAAATAGGAAACCCCAAAATACTTGAAACCATACTGCTTAGTAAAAAACTGTATAGCCATTTCAGCATAATATGAACAATTTTTAAAAATTAATGAACCTTTGCACATTGATTAGTCGTACTGGCCAATTTGTTGACACAAGAAATGCAACATTATTTCAATATCCTGCTGTCGGTGACTAGCCGCCTTTCTCTATTGGCTCCACAGCAATTGTGGAAGTTTTTACCCACAAGCTCTTATTTTGGTTTCAAAATTCCTCACTGGGCCACACCACTAAGCATACATAAAAACAAACATTTTGTGTAAAATCATGTATTATTTCTGCCAGTACCACTAACCTTTCAAGTATTGCCAGTGTTTTTACGTTGAAGGGCAACATGTGAGACATTTACTCAAGCCATGCAAAAGACCGCGGCTAGTAGGCCTACAGCTAGCCACCTGACGGATTGAGAAAACCCTAGGCTTGTAAACATACAGTAATCATGAAATCAGGTTTACCTTGCTAGACCAGAGATAGATGGGGAATGTGATGAACTGAGAGTATTTCTTGATGAGGTTTCGTAGAGTATCAATCTCTAGGTAGTCACCAGCCTCATCCTTCAGTTGCAGACTGCAATCATATCATGTTTTAGTTAGGAAATGATTAGAGTAAAATATGGCCAAGTTTCTGTGGATTATACATTCAATAAGCTGTAGCCATTATGGATGGAAAAGGATTAAAAATTAATCGAAACACACTTCCATTGAGAGCGCTACAGTGTGCTAATTCTCAAAACATAGGAGTACCACATATTCAGCTTTTTATTTTTAGATTGAATAAATTCCTACCTGATTTGAGTTCCACGTTTGAGTGAGTCACCCCGAGGGTCTTCTGCGATCTGGAAGCTATTGGCGTCCGATTCCCACACTAGTTGTTTGTCCTCATTGTGTTTCGTGGTTACAATCACTCGGTCAGCCACTGCACAGCAATATATTGTATGAATGCAAATATTCTTAAATACATTTTAAACAATAAATTAGTCCACTTTCTGTAGACCTGACGTTCTTTAGTATAAGGTAAGATTACATTATTGCACAGTTTTAGTTTTGAGTTCAATAAGGTTTTAATTCTTTGCAATTTGGCCTAAGACAAAGTGATGTTTGTGGTGATGTGAAGTGTGAAGTGAGTGGTGTTTGTCAGTGATTAAAATAATGTTTTGACATAACCTGTTCAACAACTTCATGGCTGAATGTATTTGAATCTCTTACACATTTTCCAAAATGAACGTTTTTGAAGAGATGAATTCCATAGGAAATTATCCGTATCTTACTTATTTAAAAATAATATTTTTATGTCTGGATAAAAACCAAGTAGAGCCCAATCCCTACTTGGGATCAATACTTCCACGAATTAGTATGATTAGGTACATGAGACCTAAAACTTATGTACAAGATAAAAAATGTGATAATAGACTACCTTAGCCTATTTATAGCCTACACTTAATTTTTAAGAAATAAATTAGGCCTATGGAAAATAATTGGTTTTGATAATTGAGATAGTTTTAAAAATCTTAGTTTCTGTTACTCGGCCTGAGTTCCTGATATAGTACAATCAAATGAATTGAAGATGAGCTTTTAAACACCACCTAACTAGAATAGTCAGATTCTTTAGACTAAGGTCTCAGAACGAACCTAAAAATGCTGAGTAGAAGCCAACACCAAACTGTCCAATCAAGTCATTCATGTCAGTAGTGCCAGACTCTTGCATCTTGCTCAGGAACTCGGCAGTTCCAGACTTGGCGATTGTTCCCAAATTGTTGACCAAATCCTTCTGAGTCATTCCTATGCCTGTGTCTGTGATGTGTAGCATTTTTGAGTCTTTGTCAGCCTAGAATAAAATTAACATTTGTTTTTGACTGACTGAAAACTCCATAATCAATGGTTAGACTATTTATTAGTTATTCCAGTTCCCAGGGAAATAAATGTCCCAGTAATGTCTATGATTAATGGGGTTATCAATTTCACATATATAAAAATATATTTAATCCTATTGACTTTGCAATCATAGGTGATGATACTGCACCACGGCCGTTTTGGATATTACTCCATTGTCGGAGTATTTCAAGCATTCTATCTTTGATTTCAACTTATAATGTCAAACACTATATAATGTTTTATGAGCATCTGTTTTTCAAGCAAATAAGAGATAGAAACAGGCTGACAGAAATATGTTAATTAACTTACCTTGATCTTGATTGAAAATTCTGGAGTAGCAGAAAGATGATTTGAGTCTGTTAAAGAAAGCACTCGTATTTTGTCCAAGGCGTCAGAAGCATTTGAAATCAACTCTCGGAGGAAAATCTATCAAAACAAGATTAACTATTATTTTCAGCCCACAATATTTAATTTTTGAGCATTGAAAAATCTTAAAGACATAAGATAAGTTAGAATACTATATTTAATTAAATTTTACTTTAGAGAACTAACTCAACAGGTTCAGTCTCAGTCGGCACACTCCTCTGTATGCACTGTGTCTCATCACGCGGGACTGAGTGTGTTAAACACAAACCATACCTATTTCTTGATTGTTAAGGATAATTTTTACAACTTAGGTTGATATTGAACTCCATGCTATATTTGAAAACTTTTTAGCAACCATACTAAATTTTATACAGTATCTTTAGGTAGAGTTGGAGTGATCCACAAAAAACATAACAAGTTTATTTGAGTTAAGGATTAAAATTTACAGTAAGTTTACATGAAATTTACTCAAATGTGTGCCTACCTCCTTATTTCTGTACAAAGAGTTGATGATCAATTTCATCATTCTATTGACTTCTGCCTGGAATGCAAACTTCTCTGCTTTGTCACGCATTTCTTTGATTTGAGCAACATTTAGTCCATCTAGTTTGATCATGTTTTCTTCTCTTTCCACAACTTCCGCATCTAGACAAAAAACAAATAGCCTATGAGGAAAGCCTATATAGTTGAGTTAGCCTATTTTAACTGGTAAGGCTACAAGAGATTTAATTTTTGTCACATTAAATTATCGAACTTGAAGATGCTCAGGCGCAATACATTAAGCATTGACGTCCCTGCAACAATGTCGATCACGTCTCACTTGTCACCACTACACATCATAATACAACCCAGCTAAGTAATTTAGGCTAAAATTATTCACAGTTGGAACTAACCTGTCCTAGATCCTTCTCTGCTGCTGCCCAAATCTATATCAATAGTTTCTTCGATTATTTCATCTTCACCTCTACAGACACCTATAAAAACACATGCTAAGTTAACTAAATCAGAAATGAAATATTAGGCATAAAAAGCCCATATGCAACTGACATGTATAAGGACAGGGTCCGCCCCGACTAAATCAATCAATGCAACTTGGAATATGTTAACTTAAGATATAACTTAGGCCTAGCTAGAGTAGGCCAAAGTTATAGCTGACAGCAGGACCCTAAGGGCCGAGTGAATAAAAACAAGTAGCCTACAGCAAGTATTTACTAGCAAGTAAAAAAACTCCCTCCAAGTAAACTCTTGTGAATAAAAGCAACTCTTTACTTGCTAGTAAATATTCCCTAATAAGAGGGTAGCATACTCTCACTGCTGAGGGGGCGTAAATTTAGTTAAAAAAAATTTACAAAGTGCAAGTTTTTTCTTGTCATTCAAGCAAAACAACGTTTTCTTTATTCTTTTCTTAGATAATTGATCAGTTATTGAGGGGGCGTACACTTGCACATGGGAAAAAAGATGGCATACACTTGCCCCTAACGTGTTTTCTCACAGGATAAGTGTAGGCCTACCCCCCCCCCCCCCTTCCCAGAACTCCAGCTTAGGGCTATAACAATGTTATTTTTGAATTCCCCCGTCAAAAAGTAAGTAAGATCACCAAATTTCGGTTAGTTATCCTTGTATGTAAATTTTTAACCTAATTTTATAAATTTTGAGAGCGGCACTTGTGTTTTGAGGTTTTTTGAGGCATAAACATTAGGGGGGAACAAGTGTCATCAAAGGCTTATAAAACTAAAACAATTAGGCTAACTAAGGTACTGCGAAACTGAACACATTTTGGGCGGGTTTTCCTGGCAGAAGAATACAGCTGTGGTATTGTCGATTTTGTTTGAGTCAAAGATTAAAAAGATTCAAAAGCTTTAACTTATTCACCATCCAATACAAAATGTACAATAGGCTTTGTCTCATACATTCTTCTCCGAGTCACTTAACTTATGTAGTTATACCCGATTTTCCCAGCGGGCCTGCGGTGCGGAGTGGCCCGCGAGCTATGGGGCCCGTGAGCCCTGACTGGGATTTTTCGAGAAATTTTACCGGGACACGGGCCCGCAATTGTGTGACAGGCTCAGCCACACGGGCCCCCTATCATAACAATATTTATATGAAAATTACCATAAGTTTTTTTTATGCCGAAAATTTGTTAAACCCAGTAAGAGCAATAGGACAAGTAGGTAGTTTACAACAGCTTAACCCTTTGAGTGCCAACGTCCGGGGAACCGGACGTTTTTAAAACGAGCCAAAAGTGCCGACGTCCGGCCGACGTCCGGCCGACCGGACGTTTTTAGAACGAGCCAAAAGTGCCAACGTCCGGAGCCGGACGTTTCGTAATGATCGAACAGTTGGCATAACAACCGAATGGGTACTCGGATTCTTTTAACCCATATAGCCTATTAACATTGAGTCGAAAGTTACTAGATGCGATACATCGATTTTCGTTGGTCGAAATATCGAAAATTCAATTTTTACGAAATTTTAACCTAAAAATCGCCAGATCGCGCTCGACATTTTTAGCGCGACCTTCGGGAAAAATCATCGGCATTTTTTGAGCGTTACTTTTATTTCTCGCCTGGCACTCTAAGGGTTAACAGACACCATTATTTGGCCGATCGATATTTAAACTCTCTACCAACCTAAGTAAAAGAATTGTCATCAGTCATGCAGGTTGCATCAACAGTCCTCATGGACTGCGTGAAGGCGCTATTTATAATAGGGCTGTATGTAGAACCAATGTGTCCCCGGTCTAGGAGGATAAAACATTAATGTTAATCCTCCTAGGCCCCAGTGGGGCACACAAGAGAGGGCCCTCAATGCTGATTTAAAACTTAGTGAACTTGACAATTTTTTACGATCAAATCAGCGAATTAACCTAGGTGCTGATGCACTAGCTAATAAATAATTCCATTCTTTCATTGACGCTAAAGAAGGATTTTCATTTCACTTCATTCCTTACTATTAGGAGGCTGCACTTTAGATTTGTTTACTTTGAGTCAGGTAAGAAATTTTACTTACCGGTACTTATATGCCTCGGGAGGGCCAAATCAGAGCGGTTCAAAATCGGTTTGCTTTGGAAACAGTTGATTTTTATATAGGCTAATGTTGATTTTCGAGCCGAGCACTCAAGCAGAGCCTGTATATAAGTTTGAGAGATCAAGCACAAAGTCAGAAAATCGAGCTCTAAAGCCGATTTTCTCAATAGGTACAATAATGCCCAATTAAAATTAAAGCTTTTATGTCTGTGAGGATCACGCTCACGAAATTGAAAGATTAGGCCTACATTTTTGCCGTGATCGCGGATAACGACGAGAACATTTCCCGGCGAGTGACGATACGATGTCTCCGCAGGAGACGTTCAATATTTTGCCGGATTGCGGAAGACGTTATTGACGTTTTACTGCAAGCGAGATATTATTTAGGATTTTGCCGCGATTGCGGAAAAAATGATTTCCCCGTCACCACGGGTCGCGGGGCGGGAGATATTAGGGATTGGGCCGTGAACGAGGGAGACGAGCGCGAGCAGACGATAATGTTGTAATCTGATGATGTCATAGCCTAAGTAGGTCATTTTGACGCGATCATGGAAGACGATGATGACGCCACGGGAGACGCCATACCAAGCTAAAGTGCAAGTTTTGGCGGTAATACATGTTTTATAATATTATATATATATTTTTTAAGATTATTGGGAGGGGGCCCGGTGAACAAACTTGCGGGGAGGCCTGCGGGCTCTTATCGCCGCCACTGGATTTTCCTTGCCGAATTCGGCTTTAAATAAAACGCCTGAACCGGCCCTTGTGTAGGCTATTAAGTTGACTGAATATCACAGCTGTACATAACTTACTTAGCCTATTCTGCAACCTGGTAAAACTGGTATTTAGGCCTGGAGATTAAATATTTAAGTAAGGGGTCCCAGGTGTGTCTGGGAAAGATTTGGCCACTCTATTTTTGATAGAAAGTTAGTCAATGAATTGTACCGACCAAAACATGTCAAATTGCAACAATAAAGCAATAAGTTATAGGCTACCCTAAGTTATCTTGCTAATTAAGTTAACAATCTTAATGAAATTCTACATTGTGTTAAAAATATTCTGAAAAGTTGAATAAATCGAGAATTAAGTTTTATTAAAAAATAACGAGTTATTGAGCTTCCCAATTTACTGAAACTTGTTAATATTAAATTATTCCGGCAGACAGTGACGCCTAGGAAATGTTTTGTGGTTATGTTTCAAAAATTCTACTTACCAACTGACAAACACACAGCTAAAATGAACAGAAACAAGTGAGAATTTCTTCTCCTCATTTTTGTAAGTCTATTACACACAACGTGCAATAAAATTTAATACAACTCAATCAACAGTTTAAATAAAATTAATCTTTTTCCGAACCGGATCACTGAGTTCTCGACGCTTCTTGATAAAACGGGATCAACAACTTCTACTACTTCTAGGGCTGAATCCGACGATGTATATTGGTCGAATTCCACCAACCAGATTCAAACACGGCATTCTAAAACAACCAATCAGCGATGTCCAAATGTCTGACAAGCCAGATTTTCAGACAGGTAATTCTAAATCTTGGCTTGGCCCATTTAATCTCTCAGTTAGTAGTATTGGATTTAAATGTAATTTTAATGCTACTGTACTGATAAATAATAATAGTTCAATACACGCATCATATAAAAATGTGTGGATAAGTAGGATCGACTATTGTATATTTATCTATCTTGTCAATACACAATGGGTGGTAAATTGTATTGAAAGTTGAAAGATCCCGTCAGTAAATCTAAAAAAAGAATGAAGCGTCGGTTATAGAAAATTTCAAGATGGTAATGGTAATATTGATTATATATGTTGATAATATCATAGAGGGTTCATAGGCCTCTATGTTTTATCTATGGCCTCACATAGTCAATAGCATAGATAAAACATACTCCCTTAGTAGATTCATCATCCTAATGGAACAGCTGAAGACAATTTTATTGTTAGTTCTGTACGGTTTATGTAGAGGTCGTGTTTTGTTTACAATTTGTTTCCCGTTAATACAGTCATTTAAAACCTCGTTTAACCAAATAATACGATCTAATCATAAACAATAAATTGTCCCCTAGTTATTTAACCAAACAGTAAAGCACAAATCAAGAAATTAACCCTAAAATAATAGAAACAAAATTTCGTCGACACTATAGCGCCCAGTGTGGTATCTCGCTATCTCGCTTGTATGTGGTACATGAACTAGGCATGAAAAACGAGCTTCAAAATTTACAATGGGATGAGAAGTCTACTTGTGTTGGTTAGTCTATGTCAATCATGGCTCCCACAAGGGTGGGGCTGGTGCAACTCTGGTCACACAGGGCCCTGGCCCTCAGGGGGCCCCGGACCTACCCGTTTTTTTTTCCATCGAAGATTACTTTACAGCAGATCATAAATTGAAGATAAAAAATAATATATATTTTTTACAAAAAACAAAGTTAAATAATTTAAAATGTATTAATTCTAGATTCTTGGCTAGCTGCTAATTTATATTTAAATACTATAGGTGCGTATGTATGTATTAATATACAACAGTAGAACAGCCAGCTATCTAGGTTATTTGATACAAACTTAAAAATTCTTTACTTTTGGAGTTTAAAAGTTTTCTTCCCAATTCACTTGGTATAATACTGTACTACGTCAGCATGGATTGGATAGCATCGGCATCGACAGCATCGGTCATTCTCGGCGTTACTCGTGCACATTCGTTTTCCTCCGTGACTAATCACGCAAGTTCGGCAGCTCAGGCATCCACTCCCAAAAAATGTAGAATTGTTAAAATTCTTGATGAAAATTGTCACCAAATAAAATATGATTTCATTGGTGTAAGCTGTTAAACTCGATTTACGAAAGTTTTTTTCCTACTCCATATAGTACAAAGTACAATTATAGCAGTTAAGATAGCCAAACCCTTTTACAGGGCAAAATATTAATACGCATGGGCCCGAGCCAGATCCTGGTAACAGGGCCCACAATTAAATGTGGGGGCCATGATGTCAATAGTCATACCAATTTGTGTAGCCAAGCAACAATAAATGTTTTTTTCTAGTGGTGCCTTGGCAATGCCCCCCCCCAATCTATGGCTGTGTGACGCCTCTTCTGTTAAGTTTCTGTTCCTATCAGCTGGAAAAGAGCTGTCCAGCTGCCTCAGGTTTGAGCTTAACGTAAGGTGACAGCTTGCTCCACATTTTTTTTACTAAATGCATTTAGTGACCAAGCGACAGTGTAGTGTAGGGCCTCATGTGTCCAATACTGTTGCTGGTATCTTACTAATAATCTTAGGAATGCTACAGTGACACAGATTCATGAACCTATGATCTGTCTAGCATTACTACTAAGATCAACAATTTCTTTATGAGACCATTTATAAAAGCCCTTATTTAACTATGGCCAAGGGTCAGGGCTGGTGGGTCCAGTTGCAAGCTTCTGCTTTTCTCAAGCATGAATCACCATTTTAGACTGTAAAAAAAACTATGACCTCTCAGCTTCAGCTACCCTACCAATTATAATAAAATCTTTCATGCACTCTGTTTTATTTTGAAAACTGAGTTTATTAAATAAACTTTACCTATTAGACACAGTAGTAACAAAAAAAATTAATTTATGATATAAATAATATGTAACTTTAGATTAATAACGTTGTCCATATAAATGATTTTGAATGGTTTTTCATGATCCTTTTAACACTTTTATGATACCTATTTCTTTTTTTAATTTTGATGGAAGATATTTTTTTAATTCGTCAAAAAATTTTGTAATAGTCCCTCTTGCCCCAATCATTATGCCAATTACTGATATAGAATTTTTATATCAACAGATAAAAAACAACTCAGTGTAAATTAATTAGGTGCCGATAGAAAAGTAGACTAGGCAAATTAATGAGGATGAAATTTCCAAACAAACCATTAACCATTTACATTGTTAAATTAGTCCTGCCCTGAAAAAAAAAAAACAATAACAAGGACACATAAAACCATCTTACTACATTCTGCACTCAGCTTAAATTCATTTTCATCTTTAAATATGCATCTAATAGTCCATCGCTCTCTCAAATAATGACAATGATGATAGTATTATCAATAACAACCAGCTATAGCCAAAAACATTTTTTTAGTTGCGGAAAACATATATTTATACTGAGTGTTAAACTGCCAAAAGTCAAAAGTCTGTTATTTGCAGTTTATGAATTGTTTAAAAGATTAAGTTTACAATTTAAATTTATGTAAAGGAAAAGTTGGATTTTCGACAGGACCACATTCTGTTGGTGGCTCAATAATCTTCGATAATTACAAACTGCAACTGGCTTCAACTTCAACAAGGTAACTTGATGGCTCCTTCATATTAGCGTGCCCACAGTCAAAGGTTTAACATAATTTCACTGAATTCAACAAGGAAATAAATATAGGCAACATAAAAAATGAAAACTTGTTTATCTCAAAACTATTACAGAGATTTTACAACTCTCTTAACTACAAATAGTAAAAAAAATGTACGCATAACTAAAAATTGTACTTGCATTATCATCTTTCATAAAATACATACATAAAAATAAATGTCTAACACAAGACATTTGGATGTTTTAAACGCAAAGTAACCAAGCGCTATTTTTGACAAAATTGAGTTGAGTTATTTGCGCTAACTTGGTGAGCATTATCTTATATAGTAATACAAATCTGCTTAAACTAGTGTTGTCAATTAGCAGGAAGAGATCAAGAAAAAAGTAAAATGCTTTATCGAGTATACTGTAATAAACAGAAAAGAATAAAACAATATGGTTCTTTTTACTCTATGCTTTAACAAGACAGTGTAAAAAACAACTATTAAATAAATATTAATTATCATTGCCTCCTCTAATACAACACCATGGCAGCAATGTCATGCCTATTGCCATGGTGATAAAATAATCTATGAAAAAAAAAACCACACAAAAATGGGCACTTATTCAAACTGTGATTATCCTAAAGCTCAATTGGATTCTGCTACTAATGAAGAAATAAAACAAAACCAAAGTCGGGAACATGATGAACACTTAATTTCGGTAGAAAAAGTTAGAGAAGAGTTTGATCAAGATTTAAGGTGTGCTGAGGAAGAGGCAAATAAGGGAACACTTTCGTTTGATCTACAAAAAACGGTACTTTACTAAAAATCCCTACAAAATATTGTACGTTACAAGCGCCAGATTATGATGTTGAGTTCATTCGGGAAAAATTAACAAAGGTCACTTTAACTTTTAAAATTTTGTTGAAGGTACAGCTGAAAAAAGCTCAGGAAGTAGGGTCTTGCTGAAACATGACATGGAAATGTTGATGCCTTCTTAAACCCAACTACACTGACGAGGATTGCATCAAGATAATAAAAAACATCCAGGAGAATAAATGTATTTATTCATAGTAAACAATGTGACAACCAAAGACTTTTCCTGAGTGCTGAAAGTTAAGTCCAAAAAAATCGCAAAACTAATATCAATGATGAAAAATAAATTTTATCAAATCAAAAGTGCAAAAAGAAGCACTTTTCTCGGCAGGAAATCAACATTTTCAGGAAAGCTTCAAGAAGCAGACCATGTTCTAAAGCGGTATTTTCTTATGGCTTGGGTCTTCTACAGCCAAATAAGAAAGGAGTTTCCCAGTCCAAAATGAAGGACCCAAAAGTCTATGCTAATTCTCATGCCAATTGATAGTACGGTAAGCAATCTTACAGAAACTTTTTTTGAAGATCCCAGTGTGTGCGATAATATAGTGCGGTTTAACACAGATTTGAATTTTGAAATAAATTTTCATGCAAATTATTAACCTACACACCAGCAATGTGTTACACTAAAAAATATACCCTGAGTTTAGTAAAATTTGTATATTAGCATACCAATTTATTCAGTCGCAACTTGAGTTTTACTATTACTTTTCACTAGTCATTGAAAATAATTAAAAAAAGGGTACTATGGTTTATTTTTCTATTAATATTACTTTTTACTCATAAAACTACTAAACTTAAAAAAATGCCATAAAATTAACAGACAACATGGACTTAGGTCCTTTAACATTAATTCACAAATCAACAAATCTTTAGAAAGAAAGGAACCAAGCACTATTTTTTATAACTTTAAAAAATACACACTGTTACTATAGGCCTACAACAGTTGATTTTAATTAGAAAAAATGCACAGGTATAAAAATGAAAAATGATAAAATACTTAAGGTAAGGTAGTAAAGGAGTTTTGGACCCACAAAACACTTTGAGCCCCTTTTTCTCAAAACCAGACCGATGGTGCTTGGTCCCTTTCCGTTTAAAGGTGTTCATTTAGTTTTTTGTGAGGAACTTTTTCACTTAATTCTTAATCAGCATCTTCCTCATCTGAAGTACCAGTAGCATTTGGATTTGGAATAGGCACTTTAGTTGAAAGCTTGAGTGGGTTGTATACAGAACTCGAAAGAAACAAATTTTCCTCAGCACCAGCACCCTTATCCTGAAAAATAAACAATATCAGAACTAGACAAGAAAGAAATAAGGGTAAACGTTGTTTTAGTTAGTGTTAAGTTAAAGTGGCTACTAACATTTTAATAACTCTGAAATAAAATGTAGGTAAACCAAAGTAAAGTTGGTCGTAGGTAATATTGATATATTATGTTACATCGTTTAAGACATCTAAATTGAAATAATTGTAGATAATTTATCAATCACAAATCAGTAGGAGCCAAAGGAGCTAGTTAAAATCTGAGACCAGTGATGTGTTCCTTATTTCATCTACTTCTATTCTAGCTTGTTTCCATCCTGATGGAAGTATTTTTTTTTTTTTTGTCCTAGGAAGCTAGGTTCGAGGGTTTTATTGTTTTTAACATTATTTCAAGCTAGACCTTAGGATTGCGGCAATATCACTTAAATAAAATCCATTGGTGATTCGGAGTGATTAAGTCCATAGAGCGCCTACCACTAGACCTTTAGGGGATCTTGGTTTTAGTGATTTAAAAAGATTCAAGGACAGAATATTATTTATAATTGTTTTTACACCAAATTATTTAACAAAATTAAAGTTTTTCTCATCTCATGAAAAGTTGAAGTGTTCAGACTTACAAGGTTTAACAAGTAAGCCATCCTACATTCTTAGATAGAATAGCAACGGAAGGTGTCTTAATAACACAGTACACAAGAGACAAATCGATAAGCTACATGCCAAAGTTTTAACCAAGAACGTTTTTAAGAAAGGGTTTACAAGGAACACTGAACACTTATAGGAAAGCAGTTTAAAAGTCTCAAATGTTTGTGGACGCCAGAGATTGAATCCCTTGAGTAGTCCAACTACTTTTGAGAGACAAACCTGCGTCAAGATAAAGGATGATTTGACGTACAACATTCTTCTGAGGCTTTACACTATATATTTTGTTTACTAGTAAAAAACAGATTGGTTAACTGCTAACTATAGATTTGTTAATTATCGGTACAACGCTTCAAACAGTTTAATGTTGTTAATTTGGACCTCAAAAAACTGGACTGTAAATATAGGCCTACCAGATTTGTCCAGTACCAGATTACCAGCAAGAAATAAAGTTTCGTACTGTAGTGTGAGAAGTTTTTACTATACAGTATACACTGTCACATGTTGCTATTTAAATATGCAACAGTGCTTGGACATCAAATTATTTTTAATAACTTATCTGTATTTTAGACTTTGATGTACCTATAACAACAACAGTGACAACTAAGTTTTATTTTTATTTTAATGCACTTTTGACATGACTCACTAATGTAATTTGTCTTTTAAAATGGAGTAAAAAAAATATTCCTACTAGACGCTGAGTTTTTAAAACAACAGTAAAACTAACCGGCCACAACAATAATTTTCACACAAAATCTGCTAAATGATTATTAGGCCTTACCTTTTTACCATAAGTCTTGCCAAACTTGTTTTTGTCGGGATTGGTCAGTGGGTCTAATAATTTTTCTCCCATTTCCTTAACAATCTTGGGATTATTAATTATCTTCATAACATTGTTAATACACATTTGAATCACTTTTGCCGTTTTTGGGTCCAATCCATATGGAGGGATACCATTCAGCATGCAGTAGAGGTACCGGTACATGGCCCTGCAACATGTAAAACACCTAAGCGGTAAGATATATCCACAAAAAAGTTATAATGTTGAAATGTCACATGCAAAATTTCGGAGTCTTCTTGAAGAAAAAACACCTAAAAAGTAGAAAATATAATTAAAAGAGCTATGCCAGTCCTCATAGACAGCAATACGTAGCTTTCGGTCTCCAAAAAACGTTGGTAAACCGACTAAAACCATCATAGTGAGGTGAAAACCAAATTTCATGCTACAAATAATTTTTGGATGCAATTAATATTGGTAAATTATAAATATGAACATGTGAAGTAAATTTGATTAGCATTTATCTTTCTTGTTTCAGAAACCACACTTTGGCGTCATTACAGTTACGTAGCATCATCTCTTTGCACTCAAGGCGAGGGCTTTACTTGTAGGTGTAGATAGAGAATAGAGGGAGGCTGGGTATTTTTATAGGTCCTTTTTAAAGCCTTGTAATTTTGAAGCTAGTTTTACCATTTTCACCCCGTACTTATATACAGTATAGTTTTATTAAAAAACTGTTAGCTTCTTGCTACCCCCCTCCCAACTCTCACTAGGCTGGTTCCTGGGGCTGTTTGATCCCCTTCCCCCCTTCTCCTAGATCAGTCGAGAAACTGGCTATGTCCTGCAAAGAAATTTGAACAAAGAGGGGTTTCTCAAAATCTGAACAGAAAAATTGTTGAACTCCTGTTTCAACATAGAACACCCAAAACACAAACACAGCACACTTTGTCTCATTTAAAACACTGAGGGAGAAGAAGAAATTAAAAGAAAATCCAGACATAAACATATGGCAATCTGTACAAGAACCTTATATTTTTGTTTAGCTTTATGGAGCAAAAAGGAGACCTAACTTAACCCATTGACGACGGCTCACGTGTGTAGCGTGTCATCGCTTTACGCGGAGAGGTAGCTGTACTGCTAACCCCCTTGCGCTCAAGTAGTTCATCAACCTAACCTGCAAGCGCTAATGTCGTTGTGTGCTTAGTAGCAAAGTAGCAATCGACCTGTTTGACTAAAAGTGGTACGGTAAAACTACCTTAACTAATGCTAACTAAACAGTTGGCTAACGCCTTGCACTGATGAGTGTAGTGTTGAGGTAATTCTAAATGCGCCGGTTCTGTACATGTGCAATCCACAAGTTTAATAATGTGTAGCTTAGATGAAGGGGAGAGCCCACCTTAAATAAAACTGTGTTTAGCTTGAGTGGAAGTTGACGGAATTATTGAGTTAAACAGGGTTTGCACAACTGAATTGCTTCTTTTTACATTAGCATAGAGGAGGAGAACACAGATTTTTTAATTTTAGTTAAAACTGTACATATTGTGTTGAAATGTATAAGATACAAAAAGGCAAAACCTAAAATGTATTTATTAAAAAAAATCCAGCGTCAATGAGTTAAGTGTGCTAATGCTTTACACAAAGGTCATCAACATGACTAAACAAATATAATTTACAGATTATAAAAAATAACTTTGCATATTTATTCCATAAATATAAATAAACAACCAATATTACCTGGGATCAACTCCTCCACATTCCTCCACTGATGGTAGATCTCCATATTCAGCAATTATCAAGAAATAATCTAAAAAAGCATTCATATCGCTTTTTTCTGCTTTACTTTTATCTTTACTGAAATTTTCAATCCATTCATCCAGGTTCTTAATCTTCTCTTTATCGTAATTTAAATTATCGTTGTCTGATGAAAGTTCATTTTTAATTTTTTTTAAAGCAATTGCTTTCCACATATTTATCTGTCGTTTAATATCCTGCTCCCTCTTGTGAGGCAGATATCGTTTTAAACTGTCAACATCATCGATGCCACATTCCAGGCATCCAGCCAAAAACAATCGCTTGTCTCTTTCTGACCATTTGTAGCTGTTATCTTCGGAACTTTCGAACTCAAACGTATTTGGAACTGTTTTAATCCTTTGGCTTCCCTACAAATCAAATATTTATTCAGGTAAATTTCTCAATACACCAGTGATTACACAACAAAGTATTACCACTAAAAAACATTAACACATGAAGAATTAACAACTTTGATCCTTGGAAGTTGTTTGTTGAAATACCGGTAAATACCTTCTTTCAAACTACTTTGCTGAGTTAAAGATACACTATTCTTCCAGCAACTATAAAAATTGTAGAACATTGCATATTCAAGAGGCATTATCCATAACTATTTATTTAACTATCACAAAATGTTTAAGACTTTCGATAGTATGTCCCTGTTGTTTTGTAACAAAGATAAAAGATTGCTTTAAAAATTGCAAACAAAATATTCAAAATTAACTACCAAACAAGGTTTCAACATCAAAGACTTTTGTAGGCTTTTAATATTTTTTCACTACTGACAAACATGTTCATAAAATCGTCTTTGGTAAAGCCGAATTTATAGTAAAGGTGAACATACATATCGTTTGTGAACAGTTTCCAAGCTCTTGAAATAGAGCTATCCAACAAGCTAGTAATATTGGCACTATTGCTAACCACTGCTACTCGCTTCTCTAAACCTAGCAAAGGTCGTGGTTGATGGTAGACGAGGCATCTCTGACTCACTGGCATCCACAGTGGATAGGAAAACGCAGACATTATCTTTGATATTGTCTTTGATGGAACATTCTCACCACGGTTAATGATTACATTGGCAACAGTTCTAACACAGTTTTCACTGGTGACGGAAACACGAGATCTTATACTTCTTAGAACTTCCCTTTCAACGGTATTCCAGTGAACCTGCGGTTCAAATTTAGATCTTGTTTCATTTTGAAAAGGGGAATTTGAGATGGTTAAAAGTTTGAAACTTGGCTGAGGGCAGAGTTGCGAGAGAAGATTGTATAAATCGACAGATCCATTTTTTATCGGTTGCAAAAATGACAAAATCGATTCAGAAATAACTTTGTTTGAATCAGTAAAACCTAAACTGCAACCTTGAAAACTGTTTTTACTCGAGTTTGCTATTACATCATTTTCGAAAAGTACAATTGCATCACAAAAATTGTTTTGCTTAGATATAGTAAACAGAAGATTGTTATTCTGAGTGACTACTTCCCCCGTGGAATAAGGGGTCACCAAAACGCTGACAACATTTTTGTGTGGGCTAACGTCTCGTACACATTCTAACACATGAGTTCCCACACCTGAACCGGTGCCGCCTGCACCACCTGCAATGCCGATGACTCCCCCAACTCTGTCGCACTTCTCACTCTCGCGACGAAACACTTCCAACACTTCATCTTTTAATTGAGGACCTTTCTCACAATATCCCAAAGCAAAATTGTTACCTGCCCCTCCCTCATTGCCAAACACCGTATTCCCACTGGCATAAGACCAAAGGGAATTCCTTTTCTGACTTTGAATACTATTTGTAATAACTTTCCTCTCAGTATCGACTACAACTGCTCTTGCATTTAACAGCCCGGCATTATTATGGTCGAACCAACAGTCCATGGCACAAGAGTTATTCCAATATGATACATCTGATTTGACCGAATCATTAAAAGCAAGCGAAAATAGTTCTTTTCCTAACTGATTTCCACACTGTCCAAATTGCAATACAATGTATGCCATTATTGTATTCTTAGTCTACTATTAATTGAAGATGGTTAAACCCACCCTTGTCGGCTGCACTTGAACTGACGGGACATTTCTTTTACTTTTAGACTGTGAATCTGGTTGTTTTTCAGCGGTAAACCATACAACTCCCTCAGATGGATTTGAAGTTGAAGGTCCGGCTATAGACAATTGTTGAAGACCAGACGGGAGTGATCTGCACTCGTTCACTTCGTTACTTAGATTGAGACTGTCATCAACAACTTCTACAATCGAATCTTGTTCTTCATCACTCAATATCATCAGAGTTGCCTCACTCTCCATGTCTTCTGTAACAGAATTTAAAAATTTCATTTATAAGTCTTTTTTAAATTACGGGTTGAATCAGGCTGAATCTGTGCCTGAGTTATTATTATATACAAAAAATGTGGTGCCTATGAATGAAAATACCCCTGCCACAGCAAACCTGCAGACTAAGCGAATTTCCATTTGCCTGACTGGATTTACACTAAAATGTCTCCTTAAAAATATCACATTTATTCCCTATTTAAATAACATTAGTTTAACGAGTACTAGGTTGGCTGAAACAGGGAGGGTAAAAAGGTATTTTTTTTTGTAAAATGTAATAGTTTAGTATGCATGCATTTTCCAAATTTGATCAAAATATGTTCATAAACAAGCAAACTACAACAGTTTACTTACTCTCCATAAGAATAACATGCAAATTTTAAATTTACTGATTTTTGGAATTTTCTCCGTAACCATTAGGCGCATAATAACGCTTCAGTATACTAAATTATTTGTTTTTTAAGCTCTACAAAATGGTTTGGAAAGAAATTGCTAAATTTTTAGTTTTTAGGGTCAAAAATGGGGAAAACCAACTTTTACCCAATAAAACCTCCCATAAACCCCTGTTCCCATAGTCTGATCATGCTGGTTCGCAAATGTAGGTTTACACGTTTGAACCAAATTTCATCAAAATCGGATGATTTTAGCTCGAGTTATCGCGCTAACGGACACATATATAAATATATATATATGAATTTGAACGGATGGTGTTTTTGGTCTCTAGGGACCTCAAAACGAAAAAGTAAATCGGTCCCGGGTCCAGGTCTTACCATGAGTACTACGGTAATAGCTTATTACCTATAGGGGAAATTCGCTAAAAACAACGCCCAAGAAAATATCACTTGTTAGATAGAATACAAGCCACGGGGTCACAATGTAATATGATGTGACATGGTCCATTCCATGTTGGGGCAATCTCTAACCACTATCAACAGTAACAAATAGCTCCTTTCAGCTTTATTCAATCCTGCATGATAAATCAGCTGATTTCACTATTTGCTTTTCTATAAAACACTAACAAATGGTAAGCAAATAAAATAATCTAAATGACATTGTATAAAAGGGTGTTTCACGAGAGGTGTCTCAAATTGATTACGGAAAAACGACTTAACGTACAAGGATGAAATAAAATTATTTCCCGCTAAATCGACCCCAAGGAATTTAATGTCAAAATATTTTTAACTTTTTCCAAATACAGGGTGTGCCAAAAACTGAGGGTCACTAGTTCGAATCTCGGGATTTTCAAATGTAAACATATGTTATGTTATACATCGTTTTAAAGGTATTTGATAGACAAACATTTTGGCAAAAACAGAAATTAAATATCTTTTTCCGTTTCAAAATGGCGTCAGTTTTTTTGAAAAAATCTATATTTTTTTTAATACTCTTTGTTTCCTATACCAATGCATTTAGCGCTTCTCCGGTTGGATTTTCTTACTCGTGAAATTAGCATTACTTTGATATGCTACAAGCAACGGTTATTTGAAATGATAAAAATTAAAAAAAAAATATATATATTTTTTTTTAATTTGCGAATGCTCATTGTTCAAAATTTTTAAATAGCAACATATGTCAAGTGGCACATCATTTTATAGGTTTTTAAATCCATAACAACTTTGTAATTTACACTTACTTCGTATCTCTTTTAGTTTTTGCGTAAATAACCAAAAACTTAATTTTCCTATATCAAATGCATGTTATTTGGGTTTGACGTGGTTTAAAACTTAATGAATTGGAGCCTTTAGTGCCTTTAGTGACTACAGCTGTTTCGTGCCGCTGGGGCACATCTTCAGGTCGAGCGTTAAGATGAAGCTGTCATCCGTGGACGAGTTTGTCGACGCTCGACCTGAAGATGTGCCCCAGCAGCACGAAACAGCTGTAGTCATCTACTACATCACGGATTGTTTGACGCAAAAGGTACGGTACCTTAAACCATTTTATATCGCAATTTTCAATCCAGAGGCTAACCCATCATAAAAGTTTAGTTTCAAAAAACCTTATTGTTAAGAGGATTATAGGGCAATTTAAAATTATTTTTAGAAACCTCTCAATCGCTTATCAATTGATATTTTTTTGGTATTGTTGGACTTGTAGTAAAATTTTAAAATTTGTATGCAATTTAGAACATTGCATATTTCCTTTTAATACAGTAGAAAGCTATTTTTAAATATAAAACAACTTCTAATGGAAACCAAACAAAATATTGAATTAAATCCAAAAAATATTTTTTAATTATTTCAACCATGATCATTATATTTATTAGGTACTTCTTTAGTTGTACCAGTTTATAAGAGCCACAGTTTTGATGAATTCCAGTAATTTTGATTGTTGTGGTATTCCGAAAGACAAGTGTTCCAAAGACACGGCCTTTTCTCACTGATTCAAAGAAAATATCAAAGCCACTCGGATCCATGTAATAGGAACTTTTTAAAAATACAAAAATAAGTTACAAAACTGCTTATTAACAATGTAGGCCTATTATAAAGTTAATAATTTTTCTCCTGAAATTAGTCACACCTGAAAATTTGTCCGATTAGCCAAGCCTACAATAAAATAGTCCAGGATTCTAAATAAAGTGTTTGTTAATTAATTGTCGTTTGGAGTTTATTGGCTCAGAATCAACTGAACTTTTGAACTTTAATATTATTAAAGTGATACAATCAAATTTTATGTAAACGGTTAAGGCCATTGATTTACCAAATAAAAGTATAGGCATATGGCATATCAAAATGAAGCTTAGAGTGTGTAGATTTGCCGAAAAGTATTGATATGGATGAACTCCCTAAGGGCTCTGCCCCACAGGCTGATTTCCAAAGGGCTACGCCTTGCATGTTTTGGAAGTTATTATTCAATTAATTTAGTGAACAACAGCTGGCCAATGCAATTGAGTTTGTTTGTTTACATTTTTGTTTACTTATTTTATTATTTACTTGTATGTCCTTAAAAGAGGTGCGGCGAATGGACAATGAAGCTATTTCTAGCTGTTTGACACAAGCGAGTGATTAAAGGTGTTCGAAACACGATGAATATGAGATTAACAAACCATGTATGTTCTTCGTTCCAAGAGGTTGTCACTGATCTTTAACAGATCGGAATTTCATTGAAAAGGATTAAAGACCTTGTGAAAGAGAGCGGCGAGTTCAGCTACAACCTCGGCCAACCTTAGGACATAAGGTATGAAGGTTCCACTGCTTTTAACATCCTTCCAGATGACAATTTCTTGATCTTTGGCCCTTTAAATTAAATATAAAGTCAAAGTTGATTAGATTAATTTAATAACTTCTGTTCATTTAGTAGCTTCTGTTCACTCGTGAATTCGCGGGTAGAACCTCTTGTAATAATTACAACAATGCTAACTTTATAATAGGCACAATTAATAAGCAGTTTTGTAACTTATTTTTCTATTTTTAAAAAGTTCCTATTGATTTCAATAATAAACACGTTCATTGCTGAATAAGTAAGTGTCTGCGGTCTCCTGTGACTCAGCCCCTCCAGTTCACACGAGCGACACATCTAGCTGACTAGGTAGCAGACCACAGGATTTCAGGACGACTAATACGTATTATTTCCCTTCGTCCCGATTTTAAAATCTACTGCTAGGGAACATATTATTAATTAATCATAGTTGTTATGTATTTTAATTATCCATGACCATTTCACAAGTTTAGCAGCTGATGACGTTTGATGGCCCTGTCAAACGTTGCGTGAAAATAAATGATTGACTGACTAAATTATTGACTAAGAAATACTGAAGAGGCAGCCAAGTATTTTTGTTGCAAGTCAGTAGGCTTTTGTAAGTATTTTTGAAGAAAGTAAATCTTAGTGAAATGCTAACAGAGAAACTGAGTTAGATGCCTAAGATGGCTTTTAATACATTTATTAAAAGCCCAATAGTCAAGAACAGCTGGGTGCAGTTTCAAACCATCAAAAAGCTACACTTACATTTCTCAGGATCAAACCTGCAACCATTACTATTACCAATTACCAAATCCTTGATTGAAGCCCATCTCTGGATAATCGCGTCAAATACATTTTCACACAAATATTTACAAATCTACATTGAAGTTACAAAACTGTAGTTGCAACCTTTTGATTACTAAGCGTGCACTATAACCACTGAACGACCCAGATCATAAACAAGTTTGCCTAGTAATCAATGCTTAAACCTCAACTTGGATTTCTAAGTAAGATGTTGCTTAACGCCGATGTTCCTAAGCCATCGCACTGAACAGCGCCATGAAGAGCGCTTGCAAGCCTTTTGAATCTGGGTGATTACATTGTTATCCTTAAACCTTTCAGTAAACTAACTGCAGATTCATGTTTTTAATCATGTTTTCATGTTTTTTTAATCTATTGCACTTCCCCCGTTTGTTATTTTTTTATCAAGAAATTATTTGTCTGTCGGTGTTAAAACTTGTGATAAAAATGTGTAACTTAAACCTTATTACCAACCTTTTAGCCTAACATTTTTTTTAAATAACTTGTCTAAATTTTAAAAAGCGCAGGACCTACAATAGATTTAACAAAAAATACGACACCAAGATCTTTTAAATTGGTTCACAATTGGGGCTACAAACAGCAAGAACGAAAACCCTTGCATTTGTGCGTGACAAACGGGTAGAGCTCAGCCTTAAACTTATCTTCACAAAAAATCCAGGTTAAGAAAACCTTAATTTTGCACATGTGCATTCACATATCACATTTGGCATAGCACTCTACGGCTCAACAAAAATATGTAATCTAGATAGCATTTTAAAGGAGCAAAAAAGAGCGGTTAGAATCATGCTTAAGCTGCAGCATGATGAGTCAGCTAAAGAGCATTTTAAGGACCTAAAAATCTTTACTGTTTACGGGCAGTATATATATGAATCAATAATAATTGCAAAAAAACAAGAAGAATATTCGGAACCAAAAGAAAAATCCCATTCTTATAATTTAAGAAATAAGAACGAAAATGTACAACCACATAGGACTAAATTTTTTGAAAAGAAACCATCCTATGCAGGTAATAGATTTTTTAAATTTATTCCAAAAAATATTAAAAAAGAAACAAATCCAAACAAATATTGAAAGAGTTTTTAATAAATTTAGCAATTTATTCATTTGACGATTTTTTCACCTCCCTCAGTCGCTATGATAAATTATCTCACTAGATTTGTAAAATGTATTTGTTGTTTTTATAACCATTCCTCATGTTTTGCTGTTTTTTATCCTGCTGAACTATTTTTACACTATTTTTATTGTAATTATTTTGACACTATTTATTGTACAATGTACATAAAAATGAATAAAGATATTTGAATTGAATTGAATTAATAGAGTTGACATTTTCACATAAGATTGCTTTGATTCAGTTACCGGTACATAATATGCTCTATTTGTTATATATATAGCCAACATTAAAAAACTAACTACAAATGAAAAAAAAAAAAATAAACTTGGCTTGCAGTCAGAAATCTTTCTTTCAGGTCTAGCCAATTTTTTAATGTCAAATATGTAAAATTTTTGTAATGGACATTAACTTAGGTAATTTAGTAATTTTCCCAACTTGATTTGGGCAGATTCTATCTTCTTTTTTAGTAATAGCCTAACTTAAAAGGTTAAGCTCAAAATGGCCTTAGCTAAAACAAGTCATATAATTTTGAGCCTGCTGCCTTTTTTATCATGCTAGGCTATCCTATCACTCAGTTGTTTTTTTAATATTCGTAGGTGGTGTAGCTTAGATGGGTTTGGTCAGTCTCCTCTAACACAAGGCCACGCATTGGCCTATTTCTATGGTAACTTAAGAACAGAAATGAAATAACTTAATAAGCGTCTAGGCAGCCAGTGCAACTCCGAGGATCGTGGATCAGATCGGAAAACCCCCCACCACCGTTCTGTGCCGATGGCGTGACGTCAACCATTAACACAACGATACAGAGTTGAGTCATGAGCCTTGGTGGTGTAGTGGCTGGCGTGTCGGGCTAATAATCTGAAGGTGCCGGGTTCGAATCCCGCTGGTGACACTAACATTTTGTCAACATTTTTTTCATATCAGCAAGTTTGGTTGGTTTGGTTAGGTTAATGAGTTTAATTTTATAATAAAAAAAATATAAAATTGAATTTGAGATACTATGTTAGTGAGTCGGTGGCTCAGTCGGTAGCGTCGCGGACTTCGGGCCCAAGGCAGCGATGTCGTGGGTTCGGATCCTGGTCACTGCCGATAACATTTTATCAGTACAGTTCACCTTTGTACTGTACCGGCTCACTCCTTGCTTTGCTGTAAATGATCCACGCACGGGCGCTTAGTCTATGTGGACGGGTAAATGCAAGGTAAAAGAGGCCACCAACCTCTTAAAAAAAAAAAATATTTATAATTTTATTTTTAGAACAGAACTATTTTTTCAATTAGTAAACCTTCATTCGAGTTTTTCATTATCAGTAAGTTTGGTTAGGTTATGACAGTTTAATAATATTTAATTTAAATTTAACCTACAAACGATACGTTTTGACAGCGACAGTGATAACAATTTTCCGCGAACAGTTAGGCTATGCTGATGCGCCGGTATGATTCGGAAGCGTACGACATGGTGCGGTGGTGGGGGGTGTTCTGATCCACGATCCTCGGAGTTGCACTGGCTGCCTAGAAGCTTGTAATAACTTAGGTAGGCCTAACAAAAGTCTTAAACATAAACATTTCCTACACTATCCATTATAAATTAGTGCAACATCTGTTTCGGTTTGACGGAACAGCGGTGTTGCCAGTTTTTGTCCGCAGCCTTGTATTAGAGCAGGCTATGGTTTGGTGGCTCATTGTTAGAGGAAAGTCTTGTCTATTAAGACAAGGGTTGAGGTTGTTGATTACTCATAAGATATGTTCTAACTTCTACCACAGAAAACATAGGCTACTACTATTAGGCCTTCCTACCTATTGATAGATTTTGTACCTATACTCAGGGCCGACCCTAGGGTTGGCAGCGCCCAGAGCAAATGTGGTCGTGGCGCCTCCCCCCCCAGTGATAGTTGCATTCACATATTTTAATACAATAATAGACGCTGCGCAGCGCCCCCTCAGCCACGGCGCCCGGGTCAGCTTGCCCCGGTTGCCCCCCTCTCCGGACGGCCCTGCCTATACTACTATTACCATAGACAAAGAGACTACGGTAAATATAGGCTGTCAAAGGAAGGTTCCGGCGCCCACCGCTAGGAGTGTCGTGTAAGTTACGGCGCACACCGCTACAGGCAAGGAGGTCAGGAGCCGTATGTGACCAGCAGAAGCTGAAGCGTTGTGCGCCGTATCTACACGGCAAACCTAGCAGTGGACGCCAGAACTTATGCTAACCGCCTAGGTTTGATAGTAAAATGTTTTCTATGCTGCTAGGCTTACCGGTAGGCCTACTTACTTTGGCTAGTTAGGAATTTTCGTTTTCATCTAAGTTTAAATCATTGTTTAATTTATTGAAGACTGTGAAATCTGTGGGAATGGACATTTATAGGCATTACCTAGACTAGGCCTAGTCTAGTTCAACATCAATTTAATGTATCTCCATGCTGAGGAGCATAGCTTAACCTACCACATGAAAAAGTGATTTATTTATAGGTTAAGTAAGTTAGTTGCATTGAAAGAAAATAACATACAGTTTTGTTAATATACTTACAAATTATCAGATTGTGAGCGTGTTGTTAGACTTAACTTAATTTAAGTTAATCACTAAGCAAACGTTGAAGTTGAGAGGAGGCTGCTGCTGCTTTGTTTAAATTTTAAATTAAAGTCCACGTTCCACGTGTGTGTCGTCGCGTCGCGAATCGGGAGTCGGTCGGAGTCAGTTCACTCTCACTGTTCAGTAAACTTCAACTCACCGCTATACGGAATGGGCACACGGGAGGAAGGCTAAAGGTGTAGTGACGTCATATCTCTAGTGGCTAATGTCTTCTCTTGAGGCGACACGATTGCCGTAACGAGACGACGTGATTTCAGCGGCGTTAGTGGCATAGTTGGTGGCGCTTCGGATTGATATTCAAGAGATCCCGGGTTCGAATCCCGCTGGCAGCACTAACTTTTTGTCAACAAATTTTTCTAATCAGCAAGTTTGGTTGGTTAGGTTAGGTTATGACAGTTTAATTTTAAAATTAATTTTATAATTAATTAAAAATTATAAGTAATCATTAATTAGATTTTTATCTTATATAGTTTTTATATTATCAGCAAGACTGGTTGGTTTGGTTATGTTATGACAGTTTAATTTTAAAAATTAACAATTTATTTTATAATTTTAAAACAATATTTTATAATTAAAAAGTTAATTTTATAGCTAAAAATTTTAAAAAAATGAATTTAAATTTTTTCAACTTAGCAGTTCTAGCGGCGAACGCTTACACTACAAGATATGTTAGCCTTAGTCCCTCCCGTGTGCCCCACCGCTCACTAGGTTAGGGTTCACTTACTCTACGAATCATTGACACAATGAGCCTCCAAATATGTAATTCTTAAAACACATGGCTCACTTACTCTACAAATCATAGTCTATACGAGCTTCGTAAATAATATTGAAGGTTCACTTGCACTACAGGCTCGTATACTATACGAGCCGATCAAAAATATCAAATAAATGAAGAGGGTTCACTTACTCTACAGATCATTGTGCCTATGAGCCAAGCGTATGAATTCTTGAATAATTCAGGAATAAGCTCGTATAGTATACGAGCCAAAATACTGAATTTAAATAAATTACAGGAGTAGGCTCGTATACTATACGAGCCTATTTCATGATAACTATTACACAAATAGAAGACGGCTCACTTACTCTACAGTTCATTGGCACAATGATCTGTAGAGTAAGTGAACCCTCTACAAATATTAGAAGGCTCACTTACTCTACGGTTCATTTAGCTACTCGTCGCGCGGTTTGCAGCGCATCGTTGCAGGCGTGTATGGTAAACCAATACCGCAGTTCTGCCGTTCTGCCTTACTTCTGCCGTTTACTAGTCTTGCAGCGTGAAAGAGAGCTTGTTATGTTAATGCATTGTTGAATTTTTAACTTGTGTACTCGTTGCTAGAAATCAAGCAATTATCAAGTACCGGTATTACAGGAGCTATTTTAAGAGTTATTACAGACTTAATTTTCAATTAATTAAAAAGACTCACGTAAAAGCTTATGCAACTAATGGAATTACTTACTGTGTTATGAACATTTCTATATAATTAAAGTTGTAAATATTTTAAAATTGTTTAGAAGATTGCCTTTTTAGTGTTTTCTACAAACGTGTCTCAACTTATACACATAGCCGCATTAATGTTAATGTGCATGTGCATTTTCGCCAATGATAATGTACCAATGTCGACCGTACCAATGTCTAAACTTTACTTTCAAATGGATTTGTTGTTAAATTTTTTTATATTTATTCATCATACAGAATTTAAATGTTTTTACGTGACAAAATAACGAAATATAACAAGCTACATTACATACAATATAATTTAGGCTTGAGCTAATGGAAAACTGTAGTTTTCGCATAATTGTCTTAACTTACAGATTCAATTACATCCTTTGTTTACCAAACAAGATATTTACATTTATTGAAAAAATAACACATAGACGAAGCGACATACGATATTGGACCTACCATTCAGATTCGGCTAAGTGTTATCAAAATTCTCTTTGTTAGCTAGTGTTGACGGTGGTCAATCACTAGCTCATGTTCTTCAAGTTATTTTTGTATTACTATTTATATCATTTGCTTATTGTTCAACTTGAACAGATTGTAAATTAAATAAAGTAAAAAAAAAAAAAAAATTAAATTACGATGACAACTGCATTTACATAACAATCATTATACAAAGAAGTATGTTTTTGTGACAAAGAGGTCAAATAGAAATTTCTTTTAGAACTATATAATTTATAAAGACCGGCCTTTTACAGTAATATGGTTTACAGTACTTATTAATTGCGCAGTTGTTAAATGCCCTTATAAACATATGGAAATTAAAAATTTAAATTATTAAATCATTTTCTTTACAAACTCATGAACAATACAAAACGTTCGCTGACCCCTCATAGAAATAAAAAGTAAAGATGCGATATAAAACCTGCACATAGGAGAAATGCATTTATTTATTTTATTAGTCTTACGTTCATTAGTTACCTTTAGTTCACTGGCTACGTGAGTTATTCCTGGAACCGAGGGAGGCAGACCCTCCCTGCAAAAGATAAAGGATGTGCCCAGCCACGGTGTTTCAGTTGCCGCATGTGCCCAGTAAAGGCAAGCCCCTACAGAGGAGTAGAGGCTAGAGAGTTTTACACCCTCAAGAACTAACTGTGTAAATTTCTTTAGTGTGTTACGTTATATGAAAGATCCATGGTTTAGATCAAAATCACTCATAGAGAGGCTTACTGATGTGATGAGATGAGGGAATTTACTTAGCTAAATATATAGTAATCCTGGTAATTATATCTCAGTACAATTATATCTATTGTACCAACACGTACAATAGATATAAGATAATTCGATAAGAAATCATTTTAAGAGTTATTGTAGTATTCAAATTTTCCAAAGATTTCGTAATTGATCGTTATATTGCAAAACATCAGATGATGCAGAACAAAACATCATCATCATCATCATCTATATATATAATACGCTAAGCCGATTTTTGTAAACAGAACTCCTCTCTCATTTTTGGACCGATTTTAATGATTAAAGTGTAAAAAAAATTGGCCTGATCTGTAGTTTTGCAAAGCGTTTTTAAATTTTTGAAATCCTTATTAGTGTGGGCAGGATTATTCATCAAAGTTTGGTTTTCTCCAGTAGGGTAATTATAGGGATTGTATCGCATCAGCTGATCTGACCATATGGAAATAATTGCTTTAAAAAGGCGGAAATGACGTAGAGTTGGGTTTTATGCGGGTGTTTCCGGTGGTACGTCACTTGTGACGTATGTGGGTAGTGACGTAGGTTGTTGAGGTAATTTGTGTGTGTTAAAAAGAATAGGAGGGATGGTTTAGTTATAGCGGATTCAAGCTGACGTCATAATGAGAGTGATCATATGATGTTCAAGGTCATTTGTTTGTGTTTTAAAAAAGGAAGCTACCCTACAACACTTATAGTGTAGGATAGCTTCCTTGTTTTGTTTATTGTTTATTTGTATAAAACATGAGGAATGACAATAACTTACATACTATTACAATTAATAAGGAAAACATGTGCGAACGTACGTATCTAGAGTGAGCGTCTGCTAAAGTGTAAAACGAATGAGTTTATTGGTGGCCTTTATAAAGGCCGTTTTGTGTAGTTCGGCGACGCTTGTGTACTTTGATGTTTACTTCTTCAACTCCTCTATTGTATTATGGAGCTCTTTCCATCTTGCCATGTCTGCATTGTGCTCGGCCCATTCGATGTTGTCTCGAGGCTGAGCGCACCAAACACGATCAAATTTGCGGCGAATCTCTTTCTCCTCCTCTAGCAGTTGAAGTAGTTTTTTTTCCTTTCGTTTTCGCTCTTGCTCTTCTGCTTCGATGCATGCTTGGTGTAGGTCAGAGTCTTCAATATCGCTTGTCCACTGTTGTTGTTGTTGTAGGTTGGCCATCTTGTGCAAAGTAAACGAGAAAGGTTGAGTTGACTGGTGAAGAGCTGGATGCGAAGTGACTGTTGCGTGTAAAGAAGTGCAGGTCCCTGACGAAGTGGGCGGAGCTAAAGCAGTAGGGGTGGGGGAAAGTAGTAGAGGTGGGGGAGAGCATCACGAGGGCATCATTCCATCCGTTTTAAAAGTATTTTGATTCTACGTCCCTTGTCTTGTGAGTGATGTTTCAGTTTTTCTTGATACGTTTTACAATTACATTGACAATAGGAGAAAGATTCACATTTTTTACAAGCCATTCCATCTACTTGACATTCAGGTGTTTTGAAACACTTAAGATTACAACAATAGTATTTTAAATCGTATTCCGATTTGTGATCAAAAGATGAATTGGAATTACACTGTGACATGTTGCTCGACTGAATTCTAAAACAAGAATGAAAAGCAATGTGTTGTGAGCTGCTATTTATAGTGCAAGAGTCAGCAGCTCTCATGCATCTGCCACAAGTTAGTCTACATTTTTCCATAGTAGGTTAACCATTTGTGTTAGATCGTGTATGTAATTTTGATGCTTGTCTTGATATGTTTTACACCTACATTTGCAATAGCCAACAGACTCACATTTTTTACAAGCTTTTCCATCAACTTTACTTTCAGGCTTTCTAAAACATTTTAAATTACAACAATAGTTTTCCAAATCGTATTTGGATTTGTAAACAAAAGGTAAATTGTATTTACGCTGTGACATGATGCTCGGTGAATTGTTGAAACAAGACTGAGAGCAACTGCGTGTAAGACCTGTTATTTATAGTAAAAAGTTCAAGGTCATTTGTTTGAATTTTAAAAAAAGAAACAACATATCAGCATATAGAATTAATTATATGCTGATATGTTGTTTCCTCTTTTAATTTTTTTTATTTATTTTTTTAATGACAAAAACATTTAACAAACATATGTACATAGATGGTTATTTACAGAAAAAAACTTAAAACTAACATTGATGGGTGATGTGTAGAGATAGTTCAGTGGAATTGTTTCCGCAAACTCCGTGTGATACCAAATAGAGGGATCCTGGTTGAATACCTCGCAGGTCTTCGTTTTGTAGTTGCTGTACAAATCGTCTTGGAAGATAAACTTGAAATTTCGGTTCATCACCTGGTGAA